TGAACAATAATGTCAGAAGACCTAATGGACTGTGGAATCACATCACGAACATCATACACGATGTCTCTAAAGTGAACCAGAGACATCTATAAACCCTAGATATATGAATGAACTTTGGGTTCTACATCTAGTGCCAAGCTCAGAACAATTAGTTCTTATGACACAGCCCTGCTTGATGGTTACCCTCACGAAGAGATCACTGAAGATAGGGATCTATTCCAAAGTGTGGTGAAGAAACCCGAAGGTGCCTGGCTACCAGAGAGAACAGCATCTGGGGTCTTAAAGGACTGTCCTTAAACAAGCAGCCATCTAAGTCAGGTATCAACTAAGTCCACATCAAGAAACACACCAACCAAAACCGGTGGAGGGAATGGTATCACAGCTTAAAGTGTGAGTACCAGGTTTGCAGAAAGTGATAGCTAGCTGTCAGACCTCATTCTATTTGTAGGTCCCATGGGTTAAGTATCCTCTGACTCTGTCGAGGGATGTGAGTAGCCTTATAATCAGACAGAGAGCACTGTAAAGTTTATTATAGTAGACGTAACTAGATAAAAATGTAATACCCTATCATTTGATCTCCATTTTGATCTATTTTAAAAGTTGTGTGAGTTTTTTTTTAAAAAAAGGGAAGGGGAGAAACATGTGTATTAAGCCTCTGATAAATCCCCTCTGATCATGGACCAGGGATGTGAAAACATACCTGAAGAAAGCAAAATGTCATTAAAAAGAAAGGAAAGACAGAAAAGATCAGTGTGGATGTCAGAAAAGATGCTGAAATTTGCTCTCAATTGTAGAGTAGCTACAGCACATGGAAGAAATGAAGTCAAAGAGCTGAACAGAAAAGTTCAAAGGACAACTCAAGAAGACAAAACAAAATATTATAATGAAATGTACAAAGGCTCAGTGCTAGAAAACCAAAAGGAGGAACATGCTGAGCATCTTAAACTGAAAGAAACTGATCGTTCTACGAAAGTAGTGTATGTATTCCTTTTCACAGCTACTTTTTTGTCCTGACCTAATAGATACTGATTTGTGGCCTAACTTCCCTGTTAGGAGCTCTGGTGCCATTGCAGGTTATGCACTGAGCTGCCAACGGCAGTTCAAACTCATCAGCTGGTCTGTGGGAAGAAGAGGAGGCGGTCTATGCCACGGAAGACTTAGAATACTGGAAATCCAAAGGAGCAGCTCTAGTCGGCCCTGCAGGTTGGAATCGACTTGATGGCAGGTTTGGTTTGGTTTCGGTTAATTTCACTATTGTGGAAAGTAAAGTCCAAGGGGAGAGAGGCTGTGGCTACTGTATTCACCTTTATAACTGCAGACCCTTGAAGATAATAACTAAATACACACTCTTTTACCTAACAACAACGGAAAAGTTTAGAGGCAAAACTCAAAACTAATGTACTATGTTTCTGAGACTGTCTGAGCCAGCAAGCAATAAAAAATGTTTTAACCCACAAGAGTTTCCATGTTTATGTGTGGTCCCCCAAAGCTAAAAGAATAGTTTGTCTAGGCACCATTGGCATTAAGCTGACTTTAAGTCAGTTTTTGTACAAGCTATTAAAATTGGATATAGATACATTTTTTAAATCTTTATTTCTAAACTTGAAGCTAATTACTACTCTTTTTTTGCTTAATACTCTTGAACATTATAATTCTTTGATACAAATCAGATTTCTTACTAAAATAAATACCTGTTCTTTTCAAGATATGGCTTTTCTAGAAAAAGGCCATTATGAAGAATGGTGGTTCAGAAATAATGAGAGCACAAGTGTGAAACAGAATTAATCACGGTAGTCCTTTTCCACCAAAGTAGTAAGATAGCTGTAACTATTTTCATATATGCCTATTAATACCAAGGCAAAGATAGTGAAATGGTTTCTTCTTAGAATTATAAACAATAGAAAATAGCTTAATCTGAGATCTTTCAGTGTTCATGAAATAAATGTTCTTATTATACAAGTGCTTCATGAACAGAAGGTGCAGTAGCCAAAAACTGTGCCAGGAACACTATCTGCTATTGCTAGGCATCAAAATCAGTGCTTTCATTCAGCCTTGCAATAAAGAAGCTTGATTGACTTTGTTTTTCACAGCTTTGCCTAACTCACTAGATCACAGAAGAATGATCTTTTTCTAAGAAGACCCGGACATCTCAGAGAACGAAGTCTCTGCATAAAGGCAAGGCAAAACTGAGCTCTTCTGGCCCTACACTGGGAAGACCGTGAAATCCAGAGCTAGAAGGAAGAGGTGTTGACAAACTCTACACCTTTATTTACAGAGGGGGCTGTATACTCCCATAAAAAGTTAGTCTCGTGACCGCACAGGGACATTTTTACGCTGCCCTACAGGGTCACTAGGAGTTGGAATTAACTGAATCTCAATGTGTTTGGTTTGGTGTACCCATACCCTAATGAAATTAGAGGAGACAAGCTATGTTCCCATTGGTCTCCATCTCACCAGTTCTAAGAACAGTACCAACCACATGTCTTTATGCAAAGTTCACATGAACACAGGTGATGACCTCAAGAAAGGTGCTGCCCTGTTGGTCCCAGGAAGCAGAGCTGAGGTCAGTTTCAGTGGTGTGCTACTGGTTTCCTATCTCCTAAAGGAGACCAGGAGTCACTATTGGAAGAAGCAAAGCCCCATACATCTCAAAGCACTGTCTTATCTGCAAAAGGTCCTGCTAGCACCACCAGGGAACCCCTGGGACTCAAGAGCCAGTATGCATGTACCACACACCCAATAAAGAGCCTCTGACGAATTTACTGCCCTTTGCATAGATATTTTCCAAACGGTGTGTGTATATATACACATACGCAAATATACATACATACATACATACATACATATACATATCTATACATATACATACACATATCCGCCCCCCAGGTTCAATTTTAAAAGCTTTAAAAAAATCTATCCCAACAATCTTCAGTTGAGATTTTCCAAAAGTAATGTTACTGTAGTAACATGCGTGCTTGTATAAATCTTCATTCAGGAAAAAAATATTTATTATGTGCTTCTTACCTGACTGAAAATGAGAGAAATTTCCGCAGATTTTGTCCTAAAATACAGATAAAAGTTAATAAATATAAAATGTTGGGGAGACAGAGCAGAATTAAGCCTTTAGGCAAAGCTGTGAAAAACATACTTTGTAAATAACATACTTTGTAAAGTGTCTACTGGTTCCATTTTCTCCATATTGTCCTATTTTTATGCAATCTCTCAAAGGAATCTGGAGAAAATTAAAAGAAATATTATAAAAATCAGCAAAAAGAAAATAAAAACACAAAAATGGGGCATACTTATTAATATTTAAAGTGTAATTACCTTAATAATGGGCTGGGATACTGCATCTGGTTCAAAAATCACTGACTTAGAGCATATCTTTAAGGAGCCCCTGACTTTTCTAGGGAACAAGTATAAAAGATTGTTTAATAAATGTAGTAAGGTCATGAAAGAATCATCATATATTTTAGCTAGAGTAGGCACTGATATGTCAGCTAATAAAATGTTACCAATGCAATTAAAAACAAAGAGTATGAAAAGACAGAAAACAAAGCAAAAATATTTCCTGTATCTCTTCTCTCTAGTGATCAGAAAAACCTGCCCCTACATGTACTGTAATTATGCTTTCATGTTATGCACTGTCCAATTTAACTACAACTAAATTATGTCTCCAGCACATAGTAAACGCTCAATAAGTACCACTGTCGGTAACGTTGTTAGAGTTGGCCTCCAATTAATAGGAGCCCATGCACAAAATACACTAATCTATGAAAGCATTTCCATTTCATATGTAAGAGTACAAGGTTTGTATTTAAACTCATATTATATTTCCATCTCGTTTAAACTGGAAATTCTGGCCTTAGCATTAACATAATTACTCCATTGCTTTATCAAACTATATAAATGCATTTACATGTATATAAAATAACTCTCAAATAATAGTACCAACATTATCGGTCTTATTATTGAGTACAGTGCATGCCTTCATCATTTTTTTTCCTTTTAGGATATATTCAAGAGACATATAATCAAATTACTGTGTGTTCTGAAGTCAACTAAAATAACAATTCTCAATGGTTATATCACCAACTTTACATATAATTAAGTTCATTTTTTAAAAATAAATTTAATTCTGTTAAATAGCTACATTCCTAACCACTTGATTTGGTGGGCATTCCATGGTTTGTTTCGTCAGTCGTCTCTTGGACTGCGACCAGTCTTTTACTATTGACAATAGTGCTGCCACGAGTAACCCTGTAAATGGCACTTTTTATAATTTGATAATGGATCTTCTAGACAGCTTCCTAGAAGTGCAACTGCCAGATTACAATCTACGCATCATCTGGTTAGATATTACCAAATTAACTTCCAGGAGATTATTATAGGATAATCTCATATAGAGGAATGCCACACACACGCACAAAGCGAAGAAAAGGCTATCTCCTAGCCAGCTGATCTTAAGTACCCACAACATTAAAGGAATTACAATGCAATGCTTTTCTTCTTTGAAAAATATTTGAAGCTATGGCCAAAAAAATAAAAACCAAATTTAATTGTTATCAAGTCGATTCCAATTCATAACAACCCTGTATGATGGGGAAGAACTGCCCCCTTTGAGTTTCCAACACTTTCAATCTTCACAGGAATAGACAGCCTCATCTTTCTCCCAAGGAGGAGCTGGCAGGTTCAAAGCAAGGACCTTGTGGTAGCAGATCAGTGTGTAGCCCGCTAGGCCACCAGGGCTCTTCTGAGCTTTGAGAAAGAGTCTGTGCAGCCATGGTAGCAACTTAAACATCCCCTCCTCATTGTGTTTCCAATAAGGGAAGGTTGGGAAAACCTATATGATCATACATTTCATTTTTAAAATATCAAATGTTAGAAAGTAATCCAAATTTCTCTTACCTTTCATTTGGACTGCCTTTGTGCTGAATATGATTAGCTGTATGTTGTTCAAAGTAATACTCCTCCAAATTAAGCAGCAGCAAGGAAAATCTAAATTTGAAGTGAAAATAACCAAATTTTATATTATTTTATTTTCCAGAAAGTTTAAGATTACAAGGATTGATCTCTTCCGATAACATATTCAAACTACGTGAGACAAAGTCATGTCATGCATACATTTGGGGAGCATTCTGGCTGTACTTCTTTCAAGACAGATGTTTATTTTATGGCAGTTCATAATACTGTCAATATTCTTCACCAACACCGTAATTCGAATGCATCAATTCTTTTATGATCTTCTTTATTCATTGTCCACCTTTTCCATGCACATACAGCAATTAAAGTGGGTCAGGCCACAGAACAAAAAAATCATATCTGTGTGAATCAGTGGGAGTGCGGAGTAGAGACCCAAAACCCATCTGTAGACAATTGGACATCCTCGTACAGAAGGGTCACAAGGAAGAGAAGAGCCAGTCAGGGTGCAGTATAGCTCCGATGAAACATACAACTTTCTTCTAGTTCTTTAATGCTTCCTCCCCTACCCCACCCCCATCATGACCTCAATTCTACCTTATAAATCTGGCTAGACCAGAGCATGTACACTGGTACAGATAAGCGCTCACAACACAGGGAATCCAGGACAGATAAACCCCTCAGGACCAATATTGACAGTAGCCATATCAGGAGGGTAAGGGGAAGGTGGGGAGAGAAAGGGAGAACCAGTCACAATGATCTACATATAACCCCCTTCCAGGGGGATGGACAACAGAAAAGTGGGTGAGGGGACACAGCAGTCAGTGTAAGACTAGAAAAAATAATAATAATTTATAAATGATCAGGGTTCATGAGGGAGGGTGGGGGGAAAATGAGCTGATACCAAGGGCTCAAGAAGAAAAAAATGTTTTTAAAATGATGATGACAACATATGTACAAATGTGCTTGACACAATGGATGTATGGATTGTGATAAGAGCTGTAAGAGCCCACAATAAAATGTTGTTTTTTTTAATAAATAAATAAAGGAGGCCAAGCACACCTTAGTCTTCAAAATGACATCCTTGCTCTTCAACATGTTAAATAAGTCTTGTGCAAATGGTAAAATAGTTTACAAGGTAGGTTTATTATTACTTCTTTATAGAAACTGTAAATTTTCATTAAGTTAAAAAGTTATTCTTACCTGGACAAGAAGAAAGAGCTTTCCTATCGAAAGTTCATCATTTACTTTCCCAGGACTGACACACTAGCCTCTGCCACTCCATTCTCTACCCACCTACCTCACCCCACATCATGTCTCATGCTTGTGTTTATCTTGTTACTGCCACAAGAAATAACTTCTTGAATGCTGATCTCTACATATTCTCTGGAATAACCAACCTGCTGTTTTGTACCAAATGCGTGGGATAACCTGAATAAGTGAGTCAAAGTAAGTGAGCTAAACTGACTGGAATTAGCTTTAGACTTTTTAAAAGCAGGAGGAGATAATGACCAAAAGTTTGCTGTGTGGTCACAGCATTGCTTAAGCAATGGATGTAAAACATGAACATGAGCTGGGAGACATGTGACATTCCAGGCAGGAATCTGGTAACAACAGAAGCAAATAAATGAACATCTAACCCCTTACAGGAAGCTGTCATGAAAGTGTGGTACTGAGATGGGTCTTGAAGTTCTGGTGTGTTGAGGGAAGAACTGAGATTAATCCTGGCAGATGAAACTCATTTATTTGTGCTCTTTCAGACACGATTGCAAAGGAAAAGACTTAAAAATGGCAAACCCAACAAAATCCAAGCAAACTGGAAATACAAAATCAGATGAGAAATATCAACACCTGGTGAAAAGAAAGCAGGTGAATGAACTATGATCAGAAATCAGAGTATGAAATATCTGCAGAGAAAGCTACCATCCCAGAAAAATCCACTCAAGTCACAGGAGGACATAGATTCCCAAACTGTAGGGATGGGGAAAGCTGGGATGACAACAGAGAAATGGGTCAGTCAGAAGGAGGGGCAGTGAGTGACTCACCACTCCTCCCTGGTGTTGATTCCTACCCCATTCTGATTTTCTATAGACAAAAACTGGGCAAAAGTCTCCCAACTAGACATCAGAGGAGAGCAGGGGTTAGACTGCGGTCTGAAAAGAGCCTGCTTAATACATGAACATGAGCCGGAAGACACGTGCCAGTCCAGGCAGGAACCGGTACACTCGTTTTTTTGAAAACTAAATAGTCTTAGAAGAGGGTCTACAGCTATTGACATCTGAAAAAGCCAGGTCTTTAAAACAGCATCCCACAGGGAAACTCCTGGACTCGAAGGAGTTTAGAGTTTCATGCTAAAGTAAACCAAAGATCATTCTCAAATTGAGAGAACAAGGCCAAAACAACTTAAAACGTCTAGAGACAACACAAGAGCGGGTGTGGGAGGTGGAAAACAAAACAAAAAAATAGAACTAAAATCCTTTTTTTTTTTTTTTAAGGGTGCCCTCTGAGTAGAGAGAGGGCTCCAAAAATTGTGTATCTCTTTCTGCGAAAGTCCCTACTAACTAGAAAGCATTATACACAACCAAAATACCTATAAGCATAACTAAAATCCTTATAGAAAGAAATTTTTAGAAAGCAAATGTTTTGAGAATGATGATGGTAACAAATGTACAAATGTGCTTGACACAATGGATGGATGTATGGATTGTGATAAGAGTTGTATGAGCCTCCAATAAAATGATTTAAAAAACCAAAAACAAACAAACAAAATTAACGAGTACAAAGAAGAAATACTTTGGAATTGATAGCAATGGTTGCACAACTCCTATGAATGTAATTTAACTAGTGAAATGTATATGTGAATTTATGTCAGTAAAACTGTTAAAGAAAAAAAAGAAAGAAATTTTATCGATGAAATACAAAGAAGATTGTTTATTAAAAAATGAGCATCAAGAAACTCTTAGAAATTAAAAATAATTATAGCAGAACCAGCTTTACCTGATTTCATTGGTACCTTTTATTGATTTGAGTTCCATTTAAAAATCCCTAAACATGAATTAATCATAAGCTAAACTGCTAGTGCTCAATATTAAATGCTCACTATTAATACTTATCCTGAATTTCAAAATAATTACAAGAGTTAGGGTTGCTAAAAATAATCTGATGCATCAGATAATTTCTAGGATGCATCACAGTATAAGAAGTATAAAACACAACAGAGTAAGCATCATTGGGCTGCTAGTTATGAGTTGGCATTGACTAAATGGCAGTGAGTTTGTTTTGTTTTGGGGGGATGAAAGGCCTTAGAACTCATGGCCATTGAGCAGATGCTGACCCATACTGACCCTGTAGGGAAGGATCGAACTAACCCAGTGAGTTCCAGAAATTGTAACTTTGCAGGAGTAGAAAGCCTCCTCTTTCTCCTGCAGAGCCGCTGGTAGATTTGAACTGCAGATCTCAAAACTAGCAGCCCAATGTGTAACCCACTACGCCACTAGAGCTGCTAACTTAAGTCAGCAGTTTGAAACCACCAGCTGCTCCTCAAGAGAAAGATGAGACTTTCTATTCCCTAACCAGTTAGTCTCAGAAGCCTACAGGCACAATTCTACCCTGTCCCATAAGGTTGCATCAATCAGAGTAATTTCTATGGCAGTTAGTGAGTGAGTGAGCTGAAAGGTCAGAGATTCAAATCTGTCAATCACTCAGCAGGGAAAAATATAAAGCAATATGCTTCTACAGAGATTAATGGCCCAGAAACCCAGTCAAGCATTCTACTTTCCTACAGAGTTGCTGTAAGTCAGAATTAGTAGGTTTCAATTTGTGATTAATCAGAAATTACCTTGCTTCTTATTTTTAGCTGGTAATGTTATGACCTAAAACCATCGGCTTGGGCTCGAGCTATTCAGTCCTTCTTTCTCTTCTGATTGAAAGTGAAAAATTTTGAAAATATTCTCCCAAATAACAATGACACGATGTTACTGCTCTGGACTACAGGTAGCCTTCATAGACAACCAGCTCTTCCATACAATTTTACAACATAATCATATCTAGGACCCCCTGGTCATACAGCAGCTCTGGGAGAAAGAGGAAGCTTTCTACTCCCGTAAAGATTTACACTCTCTGACACCCACAGAGCAGTTCTACCCTCATCCATACGGTCACTATGTGTCACTGTGACCAAAGGATCGTCCTGGGGGTAAGTTAGACTGCAATGCTGGAAAACTGAGTTGTCTAAATTGGGCATTTTTGTAAACGCCTGAAAATGGGGTTGAAATAATGAAGTGCTTAACAAGAATGTTGAAGAGGCAAAGGCCAAGAATAAATTCTGTAACCCATCATTAGTAACATCCCCGATATTAGATATTAAGTAAAGTCACACAAATTTTCCTCCCAAACACACTAATATCATTTCCCTTTTTCTCAATTTTGGTATTAAGATGTAATGAAAGCAAACCTTATTCTCTGGTAAAACTCAAATGAACGAAATCTACTGCATTTCCCTACCATTTAGAACTCTGTTAAGAGAGATCAGACTAATGTAATCTAACTTTAGAGTGAATTCATGTTGAGTACTGGTAATTACCACTTCCTCTTCCAGCTGTTGATTAAAAAAAAAAATCAGTCTTATCTAGTGACTTCATTTAACCTACTTAGACACATATATACTTTCAGCATTTTGCAGTTCCTATCACTGAATCTGGTCCGTGGTTGGAGATGTAAACTCTCCCAAGATTTGTTGCCAGAAGACAATGGTACATGGGTGCCCTTTGTATCTTTACCCATCATATAAAAGTTCTAAGCCATTAGCAGAATGAATTATGAGAGGCACTTTTGTTTTACCTTAGTGGGTTGGGTCCTAAGCAGCAGTCTAGTGCTTCCTCATTTCAAACGCAATTTTAGAAAACTTCATTTGTTTAAAAAAAAAATAGTGTTTTTTAAAACCTCCACTTATTTATGGCTTTAGTTTTCTTAGTGCTAATTGTATAGTTTGTACTACCCATGGAAGCCCTGGTGGCATAATGGTTATGCTTTGGGACTGTTAACCCATCGTAGGCAGTTCAAAACCACTAGCTGCTCCATGGAGGAAAGATGAGGCTTTCTACCCACATAACATTTACATATTCCAAAACCCACAGGACAAGGTCTACCCAGTTTTATAGGGCTGCTATGAGTCAGATTAGACTCAACAGTACTGAGGGTTTTTGGGGTACTATCTAATTAATCTGCCCTTGGTTATTGCCCTTCATGCTTTATATTTGAAAATCAGAAGCTCAAAATAATACCGCCTGTATAATTATTTTATGGTGTTTGCTTGCCTAATTGTATCTCTTTGCCAAAAGACCATGTGAATTGAATGTTCTGAATCCTATTTTGAATAATTTCACTACATTCTATTTTTGACAGCTTCATAAAACACCCAGCTCAATAGCCACACGCAGAGACAACAACAATGCTTATCTTTTTCTTCTCCTTATGTACGCCTTTTAAAAAATCTAGGTTACATGTATGGCAATAGGCTTCTTAATCAGCTTGGGGTTCAATAATATAAATTTTATATGATTGCTTTCTGTAAAGATATCTTTTGTTAATTTCTGCTTAAAATATTCAGAATTAAGTAAAGTTCTCATGTTTTCTGCCTCCAAATAAATTCAAACTTCAACTAGGGAAGTCAAGAAGCTGATTATACCTCAGTAAGCATTTCAGGAGGTATCTGGTTAAGGTCTCCTATTATTTTTCCATATTACCATTACCCGTTTTTGTGATCTGTATCAGACACACATCAGGCATTTTTCCCACCCAGTTGGGTTACTTATAAAAAATTAACACAATTATGCTATCTCATAATCGTGTCTCTTTCTGGTGTCTTCTTTTGAATTTTTCCCTCTAATTCATGGATTCCTGTGGGAAAATGAAAATCGGGAAGAGAGTGCAAACTCTCAACATTCACACGTTAAGGAGCCTGGGAGGCCAAGGCTCCCGTGGAGGAAATTTTCAGTTGTCATTTGCTTCCCACTCACATTCTCATAAGTAAAAGTTATTTCACACAATGTCCCCTGTAATAATGCCAAATCTAAGGTGCTATTTGCAAACACATGGTCACTGACTATACACTTAGAGGTCAACTGCTTAAAGGTTATCTGCCTGAAGGTTGTCAGCCATCTAAGGCAATCAGACCCTATTGTCTGTACCCTCCCAAAACAACCCCCCTCCCTTCTGAAAAGGATCATAGATTGTTCCCTTGAAGGAGAGCTCAAAGACACCTAAAATCGATCTCAAACTCAGGGACGACCAAGGTGAAGCTGACATCTTGATTCTAAAGTCCGCCTATTTTGTTACATATGTGCCTTCCTGTCACATGTATGCCTCTAGTGCCACGCCTTCCTACTGGGTGTATACTCCTAGCTCATCTGCCTCCTGTTACACATATGCCTATTGTACAACCCCTTCCTTTACACATGTGCTTACCGTGACCTGCGTGCCACAGATTATATAAATTCTTGAAATTACATTACTCTCTCTGCGCAGACCTGGTTCCTGAAGTCATGGAGGTCCCGGAGATGATCACTTGCATGCTTTATCTTCTTATCTGATGTCTGTTTAATTTATGCCTCAATTACACAACTGCCCTTGCACCCATTTGATTGTGGGGACTGATACCCCACAGATTCCCTGCATATTTCCCAACATTCAGAGCTCACCGCCTCACCTCCTAAAAGGTCTTTCCTTTCAATTATCTCTGCTTGGGCCTCTTCGACAGGGACCATGCCCAGGCCTGGCCTATGCCCTGCTTGGACAAGAGTTCTAACTTGTCAGATCTGTGAGAAGTGCTCTCAGGCACCCCACTATGCCAGCAAGCTCCTGTCCAAAGGCGTTTAAATCTCTCTCATCCATGGGTCAATATGTCTACTGAGCCACCTTGCTCTAGTCCCCTGGCTACCATAATTCATGCTGCTGCCCTGTCTGCACAGTCTCATGCCATCTTCAGTATTATAAATCTTGCTTGCATGTCTAGGGGATTCTCAGTACAGGAACCCTAGCTCCAAAGGAAGCACTTGCTCCAGGTTCCTATTCCTAATGATAGTGAAGGCCCCCTTAACCTCTATAGTAAACTGAACCCTTTCCTAAAAAAAGTCATTTTATTAGGGGCTCATACAACTCTTATCACAATCCATACATACATCAATTGTGTAAAGCATATTTGTACATTC